ACAAAGTGATGCTTTGCAATTGCAAAGCAATGAAAACGCTGCAAAGCATCGCTTTGCAATTGCAAAGTGTCACTTCGTAATTGCAAAGCATCACGTTGTAATTGCGAAGTAAATGCTTCGTAGTTACAAAGGAGCAAAATACTTCGCAGGCTTTTAACAGTGTGAGTAGCGTACGTAGGGTGGTCCACAGACCCGGCCGCACGCCTGCAGCCAGTACACTATAAGCAAAATAAAGGATGGTTTTCTGTGGACCACTCTGTACAATGAGTAAACAAAATCAGTGTCCGTCCACGGTAAAAAAATCCTACGGTCATAATTGTTCAAATCGACGACGTATTTTTAAAAACACTTGAAAACTGTAATTGCCGTTCACTCACCCTACTATTTACAATAAAATGCTTAGTTTTCACCGTCTCAACTACTGCAAAATTGAAGATTGTTGTTGACAGTGTCGCGTATTTTTACCATTTCAAGAGATGAAACTACATCAACACCGCCGAAAACCGTGCTTCGAGCTTACCCAGAAAAACAATGTTGATTCGTAATCGTACGTCTCTTAGCCAAAGTGAAAAAAAAGAAGCGAGGTATCACCTCGCGAATTGCACACAGAAAAAAGGGAAGCTGCAGCAGCAATCGTATGGGGTTCTGAGGGACAACCATAAAAGGTTTTTCAAACTTTAAAACAGTCTGTGAAAACTAAATTTTAGTTCCCTGCAATGAGACCTTGCTGTCTCGACTGTCATTCTATGATTGTTTTGAGATAGCCATTCTCGGCCATGTTGCAGCTTTCCATTTTTTGTGGTGAGAATTCGACGCATAAGCCTTAAATAAGGAAAAGAGAGACTGAAAGGTGGGTTAGGAGGAGGGAGGGCGGGGGGAGGGGGCGACCGGGCCTGGCTCCACGTGACACTGAGATTGTGGGTCAGTGGGTCACTCTCCTTGCGTATTGGAATAGGAGACGGTCCGAACAGGGCCTCCGGCTTCGCACCACAAGGCCCGACCCTGCCCTATCGTCAACAAAAGTTGAGATCAGTATCTTTTGGATACAGCGCCGCAAGGCTCGAGCCGCGCTAGACCAGGGGTTGCCGAGGGGTTGGGTTGGGGTGGGACGGCGGGACGGGGTCGGGGGTCGGGACGGGCGCGGCCAAGCATCGTCACTGCGCCGTCCGCCCGTCCCTTCCTCCCTCCTGCCCC